TCTGCCATGTGAGAATGCAACAAGGCCTTCACCAGATGCCAGTGACTTGATCTTGGACTTCTCAGCTTCCAAACTATGAGAAATTAAATTTCTGTTCTTTATAGATTACCCAGTGTGAGGTATTCTGTTATAGTAGCATAAAATAGACTAAGATATTTTCTCACCCTCTGGCATGTAGGTTCCAGAAGTGTAGAGCTTTGGAATACTTTGATCAATACTATAATCCCAGAACTTGGAACAATGCTTGGTATATAGTAGTGCTCAGTATGTACTCTTCTGGTTCTCCTACTTTATCCTAAATCTCTCCTTCTCTGCTACCTCTTCCTTTTCAATATAGGCACAGACCCCCTGTCTTTTTCCCCAATAATGTCTCTATACATGGTGATTGTAATCACTTCCAAAGCTCATTACTATTTCAGTATGAATTAATTCCACTTCTACATATTTAGCCTTTGAATTTCTGCGAAGCTCCCTATCTGACTTATCTTTTACTGTATTCTACTTTGTGGAAGTTATTTATGGATATATTTTAGCATCACTTCCAGACTTTAACTTCTTAAAGCTGACAAAATTAGTAAACTATAGCACCTGGCAGACTCTATTACACAAATTAGGAAATCAAAATGTTGGATAAAGAAAAAATCCAAGACAGATTGTTGAAACAAATCACTGACAAGGAGCTACAGTGAAGACCAGTAGTCGGGCAGGGGATGGAGGGGAGTGTGGACAGACACAATTATATTATTCTCGGGAGTGGTAATAGAAGACACCCATACAAGCCTAAATGTAAAAGGAAGAGAAGCTAACAAGGAGCTGGATCTACAATATAGGTAAAAGAGTTTTCTTTGGAGGGGAAGTGAAAGGTACTTTCTGCTTGAAATTAAGAAAAGTGTTGGAGAAGAGTAGTAGAAAGTAGTAAGTGAGGGAAAGGATGAAACAGATTATTTGTAAACGTATGCTAAAAGGATTTAGTTTTCTCCACAGGCCTAGGTTTTTAATGGGAGCTTCCACAACAACATCTCAAGGGTCTGTTTCTTCACTGGCTAGTGGAGTTATTACCTGTAATGCCCTACTTCTGTCTAGTCGTTTCTCACTTACCTGAACACAGGCCTCTTGTAAGCTCTTTGCCAACCATCCAGGGCTCTTTCCCTTGTTCCAATAAAGAGATCACTTGAGGCTTCGGGATATAAAGTCCTGCTCATGAGAAAAGATACGGAACGTGGTTATGCTGTGGGTAAATCAGATCCAGAAATGAGATCCAGTCCCTTGATGATCAAGGAAGAGATGCAGGAACAGCCAAAGAAAGATGAAGCTTCAGCCACAGCCCATTGGAGTCACCGATTTCCCACTCTTCCTTTTCATTTTAGCTCAAACTATTTATTTGGTAATATGGAGCAGAAAGTCAGCTAGTAACTTGGCAAGCAGCTGACAAATCACTGTGGAAGCAGCAAACATTCCAGAGGAGAACTGGTGTAGATACCCTTACCCACTGAAACCAGGTTGCTGTAGTTCTCCAACATCACTTCTCTGTACAAGTCCCTCTGAACAGGGTCCAGGCACTCCCACTCGTCCTGAGAGAAGTCTACAGACACATCACTGAACATCACTGATCCCTGAAACAACGAACATATGTATTACCTGTATAATAGAAGAAATATTGTGGGGTAATGCAAATGAGTAATTATATTGGTGACACTAAGAACCAGTGTCTTTGGATCTCAAAAGTAGATTCAAGAGTAATGAATTTATTTTATATTAAACAAACAATTCCTGACTATGTCCATTGAAAAGGCCTAGAAAGAATGACTGACCTAGTAGCAAAGAACACCCGAGCGCCTAGATTGTAGTTTCTATGTACCATTTTCAAATAAAAGAAACCAAGGTCCTTTGGGGAAAGAGCTGATTTCGGGATTAAGTCAGAAATGCACAGGATCAGTCTAAACATCTTGTTATACAAAAAAACAAGAAAGCTACCAAAAATATTAGGATCATGTTGAAAAGACTCAGGAACCAACTTGAAGAAGCTCCCATTGGCCAAAAAAGGTATAACTTGTACATCAAATAATAAGGATAATAACTGCAATAGACTGATCACGTTAAAAATGTTTAATCCATGAGCTCACAACAATACTGAAAAAAGAACTGCTGGTCCCTTTTGGAGGATTCTAAGAAGCCAACTCATCTTTAAGTGAGTTGATTAAATGGAAAGAATCATTCTTTGATATATGAACTGTCCTTCAGTGTAACTAAATAGTTGATGAGGAAATGTTTTACTTTATAGATAGAAGTATTCTACCTAATCTATGAGAAACACTTAAATGATACCACAGAGACACAATCAGCAAAATATGGATAGCAGACAAATGAACTAGTTTATTTTTTCCTTTCCAACAAAAAATCTGCACAGATAGCTGGGTGTGGTGACGCATGCCCGTGGTTCCAGCTACTTGGGAGGCTGAGGCAGGAGGATTGCTTGAGCCCAGGAGTTCCAGCCTGCAAAGAGCTATGATTGTACCACTGCACTCCAGCCTGAAAGACAGAGTGAGAGCCTGTCTCTTAAAAAAAAAAGAAAAAGAAGAAAACAAGAAGAAAAACAAAAGAAATAAACAACAAAAAAAACCCTGCACAGATAGAAGAGGTACCTACAAAGTCAGACCTGAGAGACATACCACCAACTGCAATACACAGTCCATATCTAAATTCTAATTCAAATACATGCTTTAAAAAAATGAAAGTTATGGAAATTTGAACACAGATATTGATGATATTAACAAATTATTTTTAACATTTTTGATACAATAATGGCACAGTAGTTAAATTTTTAAAAAATAATCCTTATCCTTTAGAGATGCATACCAATTTATATTTACTTCAAAATAATCCAGCGTGTGGGAGTGAATGCAGGGGAGTGTGCATGAAGCAGCACAGATGGAATAAGATTAACTCTGAGTTGATAATTATTAAAGCTGGTGGTGAGTATGTAGCAAGCAGTTCATAGACTAATCTACTTTTGTATGTCTGAAATTTTCCATAATAAAGATTTATTTTTTTA